ATAGTCATTTCACGTTGCGATTCTCTCGTTGCGATAGTCATTTCCGCGTTGCGATTCTCATTATCTCGTTGCGATTTTCATTTCAACCAAAAGACAAAACAGTGTTGCAAATTTTAGTTTCAAGAATAAACTACTATTTATGTTTATTGTTTTTGGTATATCTTGACAGTGTAGTTTTTGGTATATCTAACTTGGTATGTTTATTGTTTTTGTAGAAATTTTTTTCGGCTTCATTGACATTAAGGAATAAAGTTAGCCTAGCCACTACAATTGCTTCGAAGCTTTCACCTGCATAAAGAAAATTGTTTGAAGAAACCTGCTTCGGGCCATGGCTAAGAGTACAGCATCCGGGTGGAGATGCTAATTTGACCCATTTGTGGCTTCAGACCATGACTAGCGATCTACCCGACAGTATACAACGTGGTGAGGAAGAGATATGGTTTCATTTTCCACCGGCGTATACTTGTTTTGGGCGGAAGGAGTTCTGCTTAATCACTGGTCTACGATTCGGACACGATGATGTAGGCCGGTACACTCGTCATATCACCCGCCCATCATGGTTATCCAGGGTTTTTCCTGATGAGTCAATAGAGAAGCCGAACTTACACGTCGACGACATGAAGAAATTGTTTAATAAGAAAGATGGTTTTACTCGGATGAATGACGTCGATGTTGTCCGAGTATGCCTTCTACTACTTTTGTATGCCGGTTTTTTAGGCAGAGAGGCCAGACAACCTATTCCTCAGGAGCTAATATTATTGGTAGAGGACCTAAATGCATGGAATCTGTTTCCGTGGGGTTCGTATATATGGAAAGCTACCTGGACTAAGTTGTCGTCTGCCTTTGATGACCGTAAAAGTTTACGGGGCGATGGGTCGAAATACACTTTGTCAGGCTTTGTTTGGGCCTTTAAGGTAAGAATTTCTATATAATGTTTTCAAAATTATAATTAATTATTTAACAATTACTAATGTTTGTTATTATATTGTTTGTAGATTTGGATATTCGAGTACTTTCCCGCCATGAAGACATAAGCAATAAAAACTTCAAATGATATTCCCAGGGCTATTTCCTGGAAGAGGAAACGTATGTTGGATTGGGAAGACTTAATACCATATGCGACAATAAATAATGTAAGTTAACACAAATACTATCATATATAAACAAGTTATTAATAGTAGACGTTTAACTTTGTTTGAGTTTTTATATTTTTAGGAGGCCAACATTCCATTAATTAGACTGACACTCACGGAGGCTGCGCTTGCCATTGATTGGTGGCAAGCTAGTCAGCGTTTTCTTGATGGCACGAATGATGAGCAGCCTCCACTTCCTCCACTTCGAGAGCCATCACCTCACCCAGAGCCATCACCTGATCGACCCGACTATACACCTCTACAACGAGAGCCATCACCTATCCCGTCACATCATCGAGCCTCTTCTCCACCATCACCTCATGATAGGCGACCGGAAAAGATGCCAAGACTTCTATCTCCCTGTTCTCCACCTCCACGGGATGAGTCAAGGGAGTTACATGATGAGGTCAATGCCTTGCGTGAGGAGATCGGTACTCTACTCGATAACGATGGTGCATGGCGTGTGGAGGTGTCTACTTTACGTGGTGAGGTTGCCGCTCTACGTGAGATGGTAGTATCGTTGCAGAATGAGGTTCATACTCTATGCAACGAGGTAAGTTTAAGATTTTCCATATTTAACTTGATGATAAATTTACTCGTAATTTCACTTAAATTAACCATTTCACTTAGATTGCTTAGTAAATTTATTCGGTTGCTGCCAATACTGCTAAACTGTTTATTAACACTGTGAAGTTAGTATTTGTCTTTTTGCTTTGTCTTTTGGTTGAAGTAAATTTATTCGGTTGCTGCCAATTCTGCTAAACTGTGTATTCTTTAACATTGTGAAGTTAGCATTTGTCTTTGTTTTGTCTTTTGGTTGAAAGTTTGAAATATATTTGTCTTTGTTTTCACTGTTTAAATATCATGTCTGTTTATTTACTGATATTTGTATTTAATTATTTAGCGGACCGATAAGGTGGATGCTTTACGTCGGGTTTTTCTTGCACGACAGAGTTCACGCATCAGGCGGCGTGCACGTGCTATTAAGTCTCCGTATACCCCAATAGTACGAAGACACCGCAAGAAGAAGCCCGACTCGCCTGTCATCCCTCAAGAGTCCACTCCTATCGTTGAAGAGGCCCCTATCATTCCTCGAGAGTCCCCTCCCACCGTTCAAGAGGCCACTTTCATCCCTCAAGAGTCCACTCCTATCGTTGAAGAGGCCCCTATCATTCCTCGAGAGTCCCCTCCCACCGTTCAAGAGGCCACTGTCATCGTTGAAGAGGTCCCTCCCACCATTCAAGAGCACGATTCACATGGCGTCATATGTAGGATTCTTGAGAAACCCTCTGACGTGCCGGACATGATGGATTCAAGTTGGCTCTCATATGAGTTACCGGCCAGTACAATACCGGTATCTGAAGTGGAGAGGAAACAACTACCGGACACAATTTTGGATAACACCCTTTGGGCTAAGACCGCAGTTGATTTTTATCTACATGAGCGAAGCCAGGGGTGTTTCACTGACATATGCAAGCTCAACGATGATATCTATTTGTTGCTTGATCGGTCTTGGTGGGGCGTATTATTAGGGGTCGAAGACAATGGCTATTTCGATGGAGGGGTAAGTCTTATATTTTTCTTATATTTTAATTTGATTATTTTTTTGTAAATTTATGTAAGTTACTAATATGTCTTTTTTTGTAAAACAGCATATCGATACGTAGGTGTCACGTCTTCTAATAATTAGGAAACTTAAGGAAAATAAAAGAAATACACGATATACAATTATGCCGACGTCTTTTAACGTCGTTCACTTGAAGAATCAACGAGATGAATCATTTGCGTTGGGCAATGGACAAGCTAAACTTTATCCTGCATGGTGGGAGGTCGATAAGGTTAGTGTTTATTTTAGATTGAGTTTAAAGGTATTCATAAATAAGTGCGCAAATGAATGAATTATTACTTATGATTGCAGGTGTTTATCCCTGTTTTGGAACGTAACCATTGGCTTCTCGTCGAGCTTCAGATCTCATCCCTTAAGGCAATAGTATATGACAGCATGATAAATTACATATCATTGGCTGATTTAAGAGATATTATTAAGGGATGGAGCTCTTATTTGGCTAAATTCTTGGATGTGATAAATTATTGGACTCGTTCTGGAAACAAGAAGCCAAAGAAGCTCAATATTATAGTTAGCAGAGACGAGACCGCACCACAACAAACGAAATGACCCAGAGGGGATTGTGGTCCTCTCGTATGCTTGGCGTTGGACCGTTTGATCACAGGAAGTATAAAGTATCTACCTCCCACCGATATAGATAGAGCTGCAGTAGGCTTGTGGTTTCGACATTATATGGCTAGATCGATATATACGAGACGCTTCCTACCTGCATCCGCGTTATAAAAATGTCCATAAACAATTGGTATGTTTATAGGCTTGTGGTTTGAAAATGTTTGGTTAAGTACCTAGAATTCAATAATTTGCTGTTTGTAGGTTTTAGATGTGTAGTAAGTATCGCATTGCGATAGTCAGTATCGCATTGCGATTTACTTATTCGCATTGAGAATTGGAAAAATCGCAACGACACTGTAGACCATCGCAACGCGAAATGCAACGCGAATTTGCGATAATGGAGATCGCGTTGCGAATTAGCGATCGCATTGCGATTTTGTTGGTCATTTTGGCAAATCCGGAAAAAATTGGTTAAAATCGTATATTATATGGGAATTTTGGTCACTGAGGCGATTTTCTCATTCTACAATAACAGGATACGGAGATGATAAAAGTACGACATATAAAAATTTAATAGACGTAAAATATCATAAATAAATTTAATATTTCATAAAAACTTTAGTAAGTAAAACCCACAAGTAAATCACAATATTAAAACATCAAATCTCAATACTCCTATTTTAGTGCATTAATTGTTTGTTAACTAACGATTTTAGTCCACATATGACTTTTTATCTTAAATTAAATGTTAAAGGGATAAAATATTCTATAAAATGAGGGTTAAAGTAATTATTTAATCACGTGTTAGGATAATTTTTTGACATTATATCTTAATTAAAACTAAAATAATTATTGTATTATAGATAACACTCAATGATGAATAGGAAACAAAGCAACAAGAATACCATAAAACAAAACTGGCAATAGAAACTACATCACCTAAATCAGTTTAAACACACAGCACAATTGCTTCAACGCCATCTTCTCAGGTCACTAAGCCAAATTTTCGGCAACCAAGAGGTAGAATAGCCCCATAACTCTGATATGTTGTTGGATACTTCTGTTGTTTGACTCTAGAATTAGAGTCTCCCTTTTAGATATCTTCGCACTTTCTGGCTTCGGGTAGCAGGTCGACATTCCTACGACATACAGCTTCATTTCGGGTAGCAGGTAGAATACCCTCTTTCTATCTGATAATTTTTTTATTATTATTTTTTAATGAAAAATGTCAAAATTACCCCTGGAAATGCATTTGATAGTCACATGCAGTCACCGAAATGTCCTCTGGTAAACATCAAACGTCCCCAAGTTCATTCAGCCGTACCTCTCCCCCGTGGCACGTCCCTGGTACGTACCCCTGCAGTCCCCGTGCCATCCCCGGTGTACCCCAACCGTCCCCGTGTCAGGGACGTATCGGGTACTTGAAAAGGCGTTCCTTTGCCGTACCCATAGCCCATTAATATACTACGCGTTTGCCGGGGACGTATCGGGTATTTGAAACGGCATTCCTTTGTCGTACCCGTTCTTCATAGCCCATTAATATACTACGCGTCCTAAACAAGCCTGTAGCAATGCAACTAACAAAACTGAAAGTCGTTCCCTGCTACATGGATCCGACATTCAGGATAAGTACCCTTAAGCGTCAAATTCATTATTCATTGTCGTTGACCACGTATAGTTTCATTCACTTTCAGCATTTCAAATCCCACATAGTTTTCATACATACAGGGATCCATTATAGAACTAAAACTGAAGACAACTAGAGTAGTAATATTCTAGTCCTTCCATTTTTCTGGATTCAGACCATGGTACACTTGCACAAATCTGAGAATCAAGCACTCACACAAACCGCAACAGATCATTAAGTACTACATGTTTCCTCAACTGGTCTCTGACTTCTCCAACGCTGCCCAAAAAAAAAAAGCAGAGCGTCAGTGGAAGAGAATACAAAAAAAAAAGGCAGCACTAAAATGAATGAATAGAAACATGAGATGTAGAGAGAATCCAAACAGAGTAAGGGCCAGACTGTTATAATTCAGAAGCTTCTCAATGAGGTCAACATGAGTCATAAGCATTCTCCTACAGCAATATCGAACTAATCCCAAAGCATCAAGAGCATCTCTGCGGGTTAAACAGTTCACAATTTACTAAATACTATTCTGAGTGTTGATGTTTGGATGACTATCGTTAAAACATAAATTTTATTATGACTCACATCAACTTGCAACATAATCCATTTCCCTCAATCTATATATATAAAAATATCTAGCCAACATCAACAATCTTGCATTGGGGTGGGGGTTGGAGAATAGGTAAAACTCCATCAGTAGTTCCTCCACTCAACTTTGGGAGGATAAAACTTGATGTTTCAATGTTTACCTTCAACTTCCTTTTCAATAATGAGAGCTTACTGTAATTAATGTTCAATTCAGCAAATGGTACAGGTACAAAACAAAAGTCGATGGAGCTGAATGATTTCAGCACATGATTGTGGAATGGTTCAGATTTCAAATTACTCAAAAGCAATTAGAATTGACTTTTTATTAAGCTCAAGCAGTTCTTTCTTTAGCAATATATCCCTCCACTTCCAGAACGCTCATATTCCCTTAACAATCAAGCAACCTCGCTTTCCAATATTTCCTGTTAAATTCATCCAGTTCCCTATTATATCCTCATTATAGTTTTCCCTAGAAGTTAAATTTTCTAGAAAAAAAATGTCAGGTTTGCACCTAAAATGGAGAGAAATGGTTGAAGAAACAGAGAGAAAGGTAGATTACAAAAAGAAGTTCTTAGTATTTTTCATTCATAATCTTCATTTTTCAATTACATTTCTATATATTCCCCAGCTTGTTCAATTATTTATTGACAACTGGTATATTCTTTCTAACAAACATAATTGTTCCTTGTCCAGCTCAACTATGGCCCGCATCATCTTTATCTGCTAATTGCCTTTCAGATCAGTTACCATCCTCAACCCAATTGTCGTGCCCAGTTGTCGTTTAGTCCAGCTACCAGCCTCATCATCTGCCCGATAACAGGTAACTTCGAAATCCCTAATTCAATTCTCAATTCTCCCATTTTCTCATCTCCAATCCCTAATTCCTCCTCCCCTCTTTCTAATTTCTCATCCAAGGTCATGTCAATACCCCCTTCTACAGTCGATTCTTGTCCCCAAGGATCGAAATCAAGGAACTGCGATTTCAGTACATTAAAATCCTCCCAGGTAGCGTTATCTGGTCCAAAATTCACCCACTGAATTAACAACTAAGTGACTACCTTTTTGTCTCTTTTCACTATACGTTTGTCTAATACCAAGGAAGGAAAAACACGAAGTTGACCCTTGGCATTGACCTCTGGTGGATCTCTAGAGGTAATTGCTTTCTCTCCAATTTTCTTTTTCAATAAGCTAATATGAAAGACAGGATGTATTTTCGAGTTTTCAGGCAATTGCAATTTGTAAGTCACTGATCTGATTTTTTCTATAACTTTGTAGGGTCCATAGTACCTAGCTGATAGTTTCAGATTCTTCCTTAATGCCACTGATGTCTGTCGATATGGCTATAATTTAAGGTAAACTTCATCTCCCACTTGTAATACTCTATCACTTCTTTTTTTATCTGCATAGTGCTTCATGTGTTGTTGTGCTTTGTCAAGCTGATCATGTAGAATTGTATTCATATTGTCTCTCTCCTGTAATAACTTTTGTACATCTGCTACTTTTGAGTCTGTTGACCAAGTCATAGTAGGGGGAGTGTACCCATAGAGGGTTGTGAATGGAGTTGTTCCCAAAGTAGTGTGGAAGCTGGTATTATACCACCATTCTACTTGGGACAACCATTTACTCCAACTTGTAGGTTTCATGAAACACATCCCTCGTAAATATTGTTCCAAACATTGGTTTAATCTCTCTGTTTAACCATCAGTTTCTGGATGGTAGGCTGTAGTGAAGAGGGTATTAGTTCCCAATAGCTTAAGTAATTATGTCCAGAAAAGACTTGTGAAAATCTTATCCCTGTCAGATAAAGCTATTTTGGCTGCCCATGTAGTTTATACACTTGATCCAAATAAACTTTAGCTACCTCTACTGCATTAAATGGGTGTACTGGGGCTATGAAGTGTGCATATTTAGTAAACTTGTCAATGATTGAGGTTGGAAGTCCTTCAATAAAGTCCATAGTAATAAATTCCCAAGCCTGTTGGGGGAATTGGGAGTGGTTGAAGTAACACTGGTTTCAAAACATGCTCATCTTTTATCCTTTGGCAAATGTCACACTGCTGAACATAATCTTTAATCATCTTTTTCATCCCTTTCCAATAAAAATAGGACTTCACTCTATGATAGGTAGCTTGGATTCCTGAGTGACCACCTTGGGGTGAGTCATGTAGAGTCTCTATGATCTGCCTTCTTAAGAAACTTGTCTGTCTAATATAAACCTTACCCCTGTTCCTTAAGACACTCTTTGAATAAGACCATTCTGTTGCATCTTGAGTAGAGACAGCTAGCTTAGTAATCATTTCTGCAGCCACTGAATCATTCTGATAACTCTGCTCAACCTCTTGAACCCATGTTGAAATAACAACAGTAGCTGTTAATTGTTGTAATTCCACCTCATCCTCATCTCTTTTAGATAGGGCATCTGCTGCCAAATTATGTATGTCTTTCCTGTACTGAATAACATAATTCAGTCCCAATAACTTTGTGAGCCCCTTCTTCTGTATAGAAGTAGTCAACATATGTTCCAACAAATGCTTTAAAGCCTCATGATCTGTCTTTATAATAAAAGACCCCTTTTAAATAATACCTCCACTTAGAAATGGCCATTAGTATAGCCAAGTACTCCTTTTCATATATGGACAGATCCAATTGTTTAGGTCCTAAGGCCTTACTGAGATAAGCCACTGGTCTACCTTCTTGAGATAAAATTGCTCCAATTCCTTTAGAGCTTGCATCTGTCTCCAAGCAGAAACCTTTAGTGAAGTTAGGCAGTGCTAAAACATGAGCATGACACATTGCATTCTTAAGTAGTTCAAAGGCAACTTTGCTTTCTTTTGTCCACTGAAAGTTATCCTTTTTAAGCATAGTAGTTAAAGGTTTAGCAATCTTCCCATACCCTTTTATAAATCTCCTATAATATCCTGTCAAGCCCAGGAAACCTCTTAGAGATTTTAGGATTTTAGCAATTTCCATTGCTGCATTGCCTGAATCTTTGCTGGATCAATAGCTACTCCTTGTCTAGATATAATGTAGCCTAGATACTCCACTTCCATTTGACCAAAGAAACACTTGATTCTTTTTGCAAACAACTGATTCTGCTTTGTAACTTCCAAAACAGTTTTGAGATGTCTGGCATGACTTTCCAAATCAAGACTGTAGATAAGTATATCATAAAAAAAACAGTACAAATTTTCTTAGATAATGCTCAAATAATTTGTTCATTAAGGCCTGAAAAGTTGCTGGGGCATTTGTCAACCCAAAAGGCATAACTTTGAACTCAAAGTGGCCATGATGAGTCTTAAAGGCTGTTTTAGGAATGTCTTCAGGAGTAATTCTAATCTGCCAGTACCCTGACCTCAAATCCAATTTAGAAAAATAAGTTGCTCCAGTCAACTCATCCAACAAGTCTTCCACCACAAGAATGGAAAACTTATTTTTTTATAGTTAAGTCATTCGATTGCCTATAATCTATACACATCCTCCAACTTCCGTCTTTCTTCTTAACCAACAGACAAGGTAAGGCAAATGGGCTTTTACTTGTCTGAATTATAGAATAAGATAACATTTCTTTAACTTGATTTTCAACCTCCAAAATCTGATGGTAGGGGCTGATGTTCACTTCCTCTGTACCCTCTTTTAATATGATTGAATGATAATGTTCCCTTAGGGGTGGCATCCCTTTTGGTTCCTAAAAAACAACTGAATATTCCTCCAATAAACTTTGTAACTCAGCATGTACCTTATTACAACTAACCTCCCCACTCAACATAAAAATTTCTCCTGTGATATCATTGTTTTTCTCCATCAATTTCTGCAGTTTACTGATTGATATCAATCTAACAGTAGATGGACTATGTCCTCCTTTTAGGGTAACATCTTTCCTATCTTTCTAAAAGCTCAAAGTAATATGATTAAAATCCATCAGCAGTGGACTATATTTTCTCAGCCATTCCACCCCTAATACCATGTCACTACCTTCCAAGACTAAAACTATGAAATCATGTTCAAACTGAGAACCTTGCATTCTCATATTAAGTTTTTACTCATGGTTGAACTGTACAATTTTTCTCCATTAGCAACTACTGTAATGGTTAAAGGATGGGTCTGCTCCAATTCTACTTCTTCCTTAGACCACTGACCAGTTATAAAATTGTGGGTGCTTCCACTATCTATTAGGATGTTAAGAGGTTTCCCTGATATGTGACCTTGTATCCTTAAGGTGTTATAGCATGTGTGGCCTATTATAGCAGTTATAGAAATTTCAAGTTCTCATTCCACAGATTCTTCTATCTTGGGCTCATTATATTCTGGTTTCACATTCTTAAAATCTCATGTATCCTCTATCTCCTCCATAGAATTCAGCTGTTTGACTTTACATTATTGTCTTGGACTAAATTTCTCACCACATTTGTAACACAGTCCATGTGTTCTTCTATATTCCACCAATGACTATCTATTCTGATTAGTATTTCGAGTAACTCCCTTTTGTGGTTGATTTAAGGTAGTATTAGAAGATTTATACATAGAATTTTGTCCTGTAGATACCACCCTAGGTTGAAACCTCAGCTTTCTGTTTTCCACCTCCCAAGTCAACTCAACCAATTTTGCTAATCTAAAAGCAGTAGCCAAAGTTGTTGGATTATGAGGTTTAACTCTGTGTTTAATTTCTTCATTCAGTCCACTAAAAAAACTGGAAACAAAATACCCTTCTTCTAAATATGGAATATACTACAACATATAAGACCTCAACTCTTCAAACTTCTCATGATAATCTTCTACAGATTTTCTTTGAGTCAACTTTTAAACTCCTCCACAATGTCATTACAATTCTGATCACAAAATCTATGGCATATATCTTCTGTAAACTCATGCCAATTCACCCTATGCTTCTGAGCTATATAACCATCAAACCAAGTCTCAGCCTTCCCAATTAAGTACATTGTAGCTAATTCCACTTTCTGGTATTCAGGTACTTTTGGTATTTCATTAACCACCCTCTCGGATTTGTCCTATCAAACATTTGGATTTCTATTTTAGGCCTAAAAACATAGTTTGACTGAACATCTCCACCAATAGATGACTCCCCTAAATCCATTGTATTTCCTTTCATTTTTAGTTTTTGCACATTTATAGTGTCATTATGTGGACTTTCACCATTTTGAGGAATAACATGTCTAGATGATAATATTCCAGGTTCATCTTTCTTATAAGTATATTTCTCATGCTCATTAAGAATTTTTATTAAGCATGGATGCTTACCCTCATTCCTGGTCTGATTAATAGTTGCTTGCAATCGACCTTTATCTAAAAGAGTTGAATTCTTTTCCTCAGCTGCCTGGCTCACCATCTGCAAGATCCTCTGTAAATATCCATTATTCTCAGTCATTCCAGTTTCCAGTTTTTGTATCCTTGCTTTCATCTCACTTTTCTGAACAGTCTACCACAATGGTAAGGTCTCCTCATTCTTAGCTTCCACTGATTGTTCTGGTACCTCTGTGGTTCCAGTTTTCTGTATCTTTATTGTCTTACCCAGCGTGAATATAATCTTGGGATCAATAATCTAGCTCTGATTACCAATTGTCAGGTTTGCACCTGAAATGGAGAGAAATAGTTGAAGAAATAGAGAGAAAGGTAGATTACAGAAAGAAGTTCTTAGTATTTTTCATTCATAATCTTCAATTTTCAATTACATTTCTATATATTCCTCAGCTTGTTCAATTATTTATTGACAGCTGTTATATTCTTTCTAACAAACATAATCGTTCCTTGTCCAGCTCAGCTATGACCCGCATTATCTTTATCTGCTAATTGCCTTTCAGCCCAGTTACCATCCTCAGCCCAATTGTCGTGCCCAGTTTTCGTTTAGTCCAGCTACCAGCCTCATCATCTGCCCGATAACAGGTAACTTCAAAATCCCTAATTCATTTCTCAATTCTCCCATTTTCTCATCTCTAATCCCTAATTCCTCATCCCCTCTTTCTAATTTCTCATCCAAGGTCATGACAAAAAAAACTAGCACCTTTATTTTAACCAAACTCGAACTATAGAAAATCGGTAGTGAACAAGTTTCTAGAACAAAAGATTAATCATCAAAGAAGAGACTTAATTTCTTCAAAAACATTAAAAAAAGAGGATGATGTCGTCACAAACCCTTCGGTATAGTCAGCCTGAAGAAGATCAAGATAAATGTTCCATTTGTTGCCAATGACCTACAAAATAACCAAAACAAAATTGCAATTTAAGAAGAAAGAAAAAAACCTAAAATCCAGTTGGAAAGGAAGAAAACCAAAGGGAAAATACCTTTCCACAGGTGAAGCAACGAATTGGGATAATCATCTTCCTCGGCTACTTGTTAGTCTTAACTCCGAAATTTGCCCTAACTCTTTCGATCACTAACCTTTTTTTTTATACTACTCCTAGCACGAGAGCCTCTCACAGGGATTTTAACTTTGCCTTTAGGTGATGTCGTCATTCCACCAAACACTGCTTCCTCTAAACTATGTTGTTTCATAATGAACACTACATTACCCCCCAAACTATATTTTCAGTAATCTTGATTCTATATTAGCTCAAATTTTAAAATATTTTAATTACTTTTTAAAATTATCGACGTATATTCATTAGCATGTTAATAAAATTAGTAATATATTCATTAAATATATCATATTCTATGTATATTATGTTAAAATATAATGTGATATAATTTATGATTAATTTAGATTTAAATAGAATTTAGATTTATGTTTTGATTAATTTAAAGGGTAGAGCAAAGTTTTTTTAAATTAGAGGATATTATTCTTGGGGAAAAATTAGAGGTTTGGACTATATGTAACTCAATTTAGAGATTTGAGGTAGTTTATATAGTATCTCATAAAATTATTGTATGGATAAGACGAATTAGGTAAAATTATTAAAGCTTCTGAAAGTTAGTAGGGTTATCATACATCATTTTTACACTAAAGTAACGTCTAAAATGTCCACAACAACTGATCAAGCACCTAACCCCTACATGTTTTTTCACCTCATACAAACAAGTCATGTTAAATGTTATGCACTATGAATAGTAGAAAAGAGTTACAATGTGTTATCTTAGCCTTTAAGCTGCCCAAATACCTCTTAAGCTCACAATAGAATAAAGTCTTCATAGCTTTTGCTCTTTAGGGGTCTTTACACCATATATTCACCATCCAAAAGTCAATCAATGATTTTAACATGAAAATGACTAATGAAAGTTTTTAAACAATAACTAAACTACACAAAAATCAGATGGAAACAATGAGAGGAAATATTTGGAGCTCAAACCCTCTCAAACCTCTAAATGAGCTCATGATCAACATTGAAGAAGATGATGATCTTATCTCAGAACTTATGATCAAAGGATCATGATTCTTACCTTAGATTTTTCGGATGGATTAAAGAGATAAAAAAATATGAAAGTTTTGTTACTTCTCTTGCTTGGAAAAAGGGAAAAAAAGAATGAAGAGAAAAGATAAAGGAGAGAAGTTTGGAAAGATAAAAAAAATGGTCTTCATCCCTCCAAAACTCACGCCCAAAGTCAGCACCAAATCCTCAAAATATCAACACGATTTTCCCAATGAGAAAATTACATCCTAGGTCCTTATCATTCTTTTACAAGTTTAATTTTTTTATTTCCAAGTTTAATTTTTTTATCTCCAATTAAGCTAAATTCTCACATGATTGAACACAAATTCAAACTAATGAATCATCATACCATAATAAATATATTAAATAAATTTTTGGGTTGACACTCAAATGTTGAATTAGAAATTTGGATCGTTACAAAATGTATGTTATTGTCTGTCTCTTCAAGAACATTAAAATCATATGCTATATAACCACATCATTGAAATGCCTCTACTTATTATACATTATTTATTCAAGAAAGTCGATATAACACCCAATTTCCTGTTTACGTTTCCGTACACGAGTTATATATGTCACATCACTTTTAAAACTTTCCACTTTTGAAAAAACAATAAAAATTTGTGTTTCCAATCTTAAAATATTTTCATTTAATGAATTAAAAACATTCAATTACTTATAATATGTAAATAGATCTTAAAGGTTTGAACATCTTTAATTTTTACATCATCATAGTTTAAAAATACTTTTCAGAGCATTATAATAAATCTATTACATGCTAGCTAACAACATCAAAAGTGGACATAGTTGTCGTATAGTTACTGATGAGGCGACCCTTGAATTACAATGTCAGATGCACCCCTTACTCTGCTCGCTAAAACCTGCGCGTGAAATAAACACACGTTAAGTATTTACTTAGTGAGGCAATAACACTAATGAGGTGAAATCAATACATCAGTATATCATAACTATCAAATACGAATTTATTGCTTCAAATCATTATAAGTTCTTTGGGGTGCACACATAGTGTTGATACGGTCGTTCATAAACTTATTATGAATTCTGTGGGTTGCACACCTAGTGCTGATACGATCGTTCATAAACTTATTATGATTTCCGTGGGTTGCACACTTAGTGTCGATATGGTCGTTCATAAACTTATTATGAATTTCGTGTGTTGCACACTTAGTGTCAATATGGTCATTCATAAACTTATTATGAATTCTATGGGTTGCACACTTAGTGCCGATACGATCGTTCATAAACTTATAATGAATTCTGTGGGTTGCACACTTAGTGTCGATACGGTCGTTCATAAACTTATTATGAATTCCGTGGGTTGCATAGTGTCGATACAGTCATTCATAAGCTCATTACGAATTATGTGGGTCACACACTTAGTGTCGATAATACACATAATACTGATATAAAAATGCAACATATGCATTTAACAACATGCACCTATAACTCTTAATGTACTTAATAAATACACTCACCTAGAATGTCTCACTAGTATACAGCAATGATGTCCAACTATTCAGCAACTTTATCATTGCCCTTTTTCTTGCTGGACTCTGGAGCTTGGTTACAATCTACACAAACATCCATTATTTACACATACCATACATATGTTAGTTTACTTTCTAACACTTATACTTTTAATAATACTTAAAAGTACTATTATTTTCAATTTCTATAAAAATTCATCCTATATAAAAATTACAGGCTTCATAGTATCGGTACCCCTACTATGGTATCGATACTCCCTTCAGTATCGATACCATTTTTTTATTATGGAATCCATAGTATCGATATCTTCCTCTTAGTATCGATACTAATCTGATGCGGAGTCTGATTAGTTGTTGATTTGGTATAATATTTTTAATTGGTTGTTTTTCTTAATAATAGTTATATTGATTATTTTTTTTAATTGGATGTTTTTCTTTAAACTTGCAGTGAAATTTGGATCATGTTGTTTGGAGCTGTTTAGGATCATGTTACTGTTTGGAGCTGCTGTTGTTTGGAGTTGCTGATGTCTGGAGCTGTTTTTGGATCATGTTGTTATTTTGAATGTGTTGGCAGTGTTGTTTTATGGAATCTGTTGGAGTCTATTGTATTTTTTTCTTTATCTAAACTGTGATTTGTTGCAATATGGATGCTTGTAGCTTGGGTTGCTGTTCTGGAATGCTTTGAATTTGAACAATTGCACAACTTTTAGTAGTGTATTTGAAGTTTAGAATTTTAACAATTGCATAACTTTTAGTAGTGTATTTGGGGTTTAGAATTTGAACAATGTGCTATTTGAATCAATTTGAGTTGAAACAAAAAACAAAATTCCTCTACAATATAGATGCATACTGAAATTTTGAAGTCTGATTTTTGTTTCATTACATTGAATGTTATGATCTGTGTTTTCAGGTGTTGGTGAATGTTTACAGTACTGGAAATGGAATGCCTAATTGCATAGAAGGGAACCTTTTATGCATATTTAATTATGTTCCATAGAAATGATCTGTGTTTATAGTACTGGAATACCTAATTGCAGGTCACAGCATTGAAACATATGGAGATTTTGGAAAGCAAGGCAGTTAAGGTAAATTCTGAACCATTTGTGTTGGGATGATATAATTTTGAAAAATTAGAATCCAAAAATCGCACAAATCCAAACCGAATCAAACCGTACTTAATTTGATCGGATCGGAAATGATTTTTTTAGAAACATCCAAACCGATCCAAACCGCAAACATTTATTCTTTCGGATCGGATGAACTTTTAGCCAAAAACCGATCCAAACCGACTGCGAACACCCCTAACTGCAACAGAGGTTTTGAAGGAAATGTTTTGAAGGAAATCTTCAATGCAATATTGAAAGGCCTCTATTATGAATAAGTAATGTTGAGATATCTTCACACACCTTCTACAGTTTTCCTCTGAAAGCGTTGAGATACATCCACATATTATAGTCTTTCTATAAGGGTGTAGAGTTGCATCCATCCTAACTTACGGCTTATGAAATTTACTCAAAGGATAGGGGTTCCTCCATTATATTTTAAAGAGTGTTAGGATGCTTTTGCCCTAGCGAGCTGAATCCTCGCATAGCTTCTACAAAGGAGAAGATGCCTCAGCTCAATCTATAGTGTTCCTCTAAAGGCGTGAAGATACCTCTGCTCCTCCTAAAGTCCCTCTAAAAGGGTTGAGTTACCTCCTCTACTGTCCAAGAGCATTGAAATGCCTCTGCTCCTCCTTACCTAAAAGAACTCTTCCACTATTTTTCTAATATCAACCAAAAGAAAGTATAATTAACCATAAAAAATGAGAGGGCAAAGTATAATTAATCATAAAAAATAAGGGGGTGAAATCAAAATAAACTTAAAGTTAAAGGTCTAATTTAATATTTACCCATGCATATTTTTAAATTATAAAAAATAGGGGACAATAAACCCTAAGACGAAGCATAGCTTCATCCCTGTTGATATGCCTCCATTCTTTAAATGAGAGTCTCTCCATTGCACTCATAGAACGTTGAAATGCCTCCACCATGAAAGCGTCAAGATACCTTCGCATATTTCGTAGTATTCCATCATGGATGTAGAGTTGCATCTAAGATTTTTGTCTAAAATAATCGAAACTAGAATAACACATATCTGTCAACTATAACACATATCGCATCATGCTTCATCTGTGTTAAAGGTAATCTAATACAAAATCCGTTATAATATTATCCTATTTCCACTTAGAAACGGAATGTAATACCCGAACCCAATTCATTCAGAAATCAAGCCGAAGAGTTTAATTATAAATAAAATCATCAAAAGAGTTTATTAGTCAATCACGAGATAAAATGAGGAGTAAAATTGTACATAGTAGAACTTTGAGTTGTAATTCTCATACAATATAGTAGCAGATGTAATAGTTTTGTAAGGTTAAAGCTTTAAGTAAGATTAGAGTATTTGCGTTGGCGGAGATTATATTTTCTTGTGGTGGAAGAAGTTGAAACCCAACTCTGTTCCATTTCTTCTCCAATTACAAAGTCTGGGTCTTTCAGTTTGTCCACATCTTCCGGTAACTCTACATCAACCCATGAAGACCACTCCACGTCACTATCCTCCGTTTCCCATGACAATGATGCTTTATTCCTCTGCATTTTATCCACTTTCTCCATCAATGTTAATAGCATCTGATGGTTCAATAATTCATAGTCCCTGCATGCATATTATCATCACCAACTCCTTCAATCCATTTATTAATATGTTTGCATATACTTTCATTGTTAATTGCCCGCCATACCTGTACGTGCAAACGGCATATAGAATCTGAATACAAGCAACCAGCACATACAGTGACCTAACCAGATTTATCATCCATGTTTGCTGTTCGATATCATTTTCCATGAACCGAAGGATGCCGACTTCCATCGAGAATGTAGCACATAGTCCTGCAACCAAAAGAGATATGAGTTTTACAACTAAATTTCAAGCTTTTTCTCATGTCCAAGTAAGGCAAAATGCATGTAGACGTACCGATATATAGCCTTGTTCTTACGGGATATGTTTGCTTTGTGCTGGTGAACATGTAGATGATGAAGGTTGACATAGAGTAGATAAAGAAAGCTTTAATTAGTCTTGATTCAAGCAGCATGGCATTGTGCAGAGCAAATATCTTGTCTAGTGCTATAAACATGCTTGCTTGTTTTGATTCAAATGCCTCCTGAGCTGCCAATATTGATTTCGAATTCTCCACCAAATGATCATGGACTTGTTGAAGCTGTTCTTGTCGTTTTAGAAGCTCCTCTTGTTGTTTTCGTCCATACTCGGCTAACCGCTGCAGAGTATTCCTATAAGTCATAAAAAGAATAAGCAAAATCATTCAAGTTACCAAGTTTGATAATTTTCTTTGTTTTAATTTTACCTGCTCTCTTCCAGTGCTTCGGATTGAAATTGAGTAAGAAACCGAAGACCCTCAAGCGCCATCGACTGCCCATCTAGAAGCTGCTGCTGCTTGTCTAGTGAGGCACCTGCCTTATCTCTAATATCATCTGATGTTGTTTTGAGATTGTTCATGCTTGAAGACATTGAATTTCCAACTTTGTTAATCTCATTCTGTATTGCAATGGCCTCACTTCTCAGGCTATCCACTTGATACCCCAAATTCTTGTAAGCACCATCAAGCATCGATATTCCTTCCTTGAGTTGATCATTCATTATTGCTTGATCATCACGCAACTCTCTCTGCGAATCCACCATCTCTGAAGCTTTCTTGTGAATCGTCCTCGAATGCTCAATCAAACTCTCCATGTATCCTTCTAAACCCTGAGTCATCTGATCGACGTTATGGATTCGAACATCGATTGCATTCAAGGAATCACTAATCTCATTCGAACTCCGCAACACGGCATTCGTCGATTCCTCTATAGAATCTAGTTTGTCCTGTGCATATTGTGCAGAGTGTTTGAGTTCATTGACGAGTCTCTCTGTTTCAATCTTGAACGCCTGGCTCCTGATAAAACAACACAAATGACAGGCCCAAATTCATGTAAGCATTTCAAAACATCAGAAAAATCAAAACTGGGCTTTGTAAGAAAAAGGGTTTACTCAACTGTAACTGATAACAGATTGAATTTGTCTCAAGCCAGAAGTCAAGATAAACCTTGTGTTCCAAGTCGTTCAACTTCTTCAGACAATCAACCATGGCGGAATCTGTGTGACAGAAGGGCAAAGGTGGTCTCCCGGAATCCTTTTGAAAACAATCGCTTAAATGCCAAGCGAATCTCGAACGTTTCTCGGATGTAGCGATGATGTCTTTGCACCCGGAAAGGAGATGTTCGTAGGCAGTTCTCCAGCAAGAATTTGTCCCGACCAACCTGGTTTTAGCATCTTGGAGCAACCTCGTTCCCTTCTCATCGTTTAGGCAATCCATGGAGAATTCGGCCACCGAGTCGCCGTGGGAGAGTTCTTCAGGACTGTGAGATGGTTTGGAAGAGAAAGAGAAAAAACTCCAGGACTGGCATATTGTTGAAACCGAGAGCAATATTAACAGAAAGTGAAGAATTCCATGAGAATCCATTGATGGTTTGGAAAATAGGAAACCTGGACTTATGGATTCAAAGAAAACAGAAAACCCTGACTCAATTGTGTTTATATACACTCCACTGGACAAACTTGGAGGCCAAGGAACGTTAAATAAAAAAATTTGGTTTTATTATTATATTAATCGTTAATCCCAGAAAACCAAAAGATTTGTTTAATGGGTTAAGAAAAAGATCTGTTGATTTTGATTTCCTATTCTCCTTTTTTTAAAAAAAAAAAACCAGAGAGTCGCTAGGGGAACCAGCCGAATGTGAAACGGCGTGTTTCCTTTTTATTTCATTTTGTACAGATCTAATGTTTTATGAAAGGGTTTGGGGTTTTATTAATTAGGGTAAATTTAGTATTTAGTTATTTACCTATTACTTTGGTTTCGTTTGATCACAGACTAATTTTTTTAAATTATATCTAATATTACGTTTTGATCACTCGTTATTAAATAATAAACAAACTATTGCTGTAACATTCTTTATTTCTTCCAATAATAATGTGTCATCATCTTAGGGTAACACATCGGTATCGTCGTTAATATTTTTAACAGTCAGTGATCAAACTGAGACGTTACTATGATTTTAAAAAAAATAATTAAGTGATCAAAATGAAACTAAAGTGATAATTGGGTAACTAAATATATAATTTACTCTATTAATTAATTAAAGTATTCACATAATTTAAGAAAATTATTTTTATTGTATAATGTTTGTGTATCATTAATCACTAATAAAAAGACAATGTTTTGTTATTTGATTTAGTGTTTTAGAGTGGATATTTAAATGTGTTTTATCAATCTATCAATTAAAAAAATCTTTTTTCTGTATCTATGTAAAAATATTAATCAATTAAAATTTAAAAAGGAAATAATATATAAAAGATACGTCCCATCAATCAGTTTAAACTATTGCACTTTATTATATCCATTAAATGTTTCACACATCAGTTTAATTTAGTTTATTCCAACAAAAAGGAAATCAGTGTTGATATGGCTGAGCAAGGGGAGTAGAGAACAGTTCAATGAATTTCATAGGGATTCATTGAACAAGAACAATTTTTCTGAAAATGTAACAGGGAAATTAGTAAAATATTCTCCATCTGATTATTTTACCTTATAAAGTATTTATTTTTCTATATTAAATGCTTATTGAATCTTATGGTTAGTATATGGTAAAAATAGTATATGCTAATATTTTATAGGATAATTTATTCGTATGACCACTTAACTATTGTATCTTTTTCCATTTTGATAACCGATTTAAAATTTTGTCAATCGGATCATTTAATTATTTAAATGTATCAATCAAGTCATCTGTCACTAACCTTTAACAGAGATGATGATGTGACAGTCAAAATTTTTATATAATTACACATTTGATCCATGTTACTTACATATTCTATCAATTTTATCTTAATTTTAATAAATTAAAATAAAGTTAATCCTCCAATATAATGATGACACATGTCATTTACATAGGATGACAATTAAAAATTCTGATATAATTACATATTTGATACATGTTACTTACATATTATATCAATTTTATCCTAATTTTAATAAAGTAAAAGAAATTTAACATTCTAATATAATAATGGCACGTATCACTTATAAAGGATGACACATGTCACATTCTGATTTAAAGAAAACAACCTGAAATGAGAGAACAAGAGGACTCAAACTTTAGTTCCACGATTAACCAAACATAAGATAAATCCATTAACCCGAAACCATTTCTTAGTTTAAAATAGACACCATGATATATATTTTTTATATCTTAGTATTTAAATTAAGATGTGAATTTAAGTTAAAGATATATAAAATATTATGAGTTTAAGTCAAATATTTATAAATTAAGGTACAAAATATACACATCATGTTTTTTTCAAAAAAAAAATGGTATTGACTCAATGGTTGGTCTTATACCTTATTAGAGTCCTCTTGCTCTCTCTTGCTCTCCCATTCCAGGCGTAGTTTAATTTCAGAGTGAAAAATAAATATATCAAAATTGAGACAAAATTAAAAGAATAAGTAATATGAACTAAATGTATAATTATATCAATTTTTTTTAGTTTTTATTTCACTTTTTAGATTACATGTTAATGATAGATGACTTAATTAACACTTAATAGTTAAATGGTCTATTGACAAAATTTCAAAATCAATGGTCAAAATAAAAAGAAAAAGTTTAATATCTCAAGTCTCCGGCCGACTCCTTTTTAAAGAAGTTTTGATGGCTTTTAGTGTTTTATTGAAGATCAAAATTTCACAAAAGGCCAACCACTAAAATCAAAAGTAGGAGGAAGAAGCTAGAAAACTCCAAGACAGGGACAAACAGCAACCACCAGCACCAGGTATCATCATTTAACTTGGCCAAACTCTTCACCAAACAATTTAAACCATTCAATATTTGAAAACCATTTTTCTTACTACTTTAATAGACAAACACCACCTAGCATTGTGACACGCATCACGGAAAACACACAAAATGTAAGATGGGGTAGCTAGGGAGAGACCCAACAAAGTATGCTTTTTGCAAACTCCATTTCAAGAAAATGTCATACATTGTCTCAGTTTAGGAGAAAAGAAGGTAGCAAATTGCTGGATGTCGCACACAAGGGAAGGGTATATTGTTCAAGACTTTTGCTTCACACTTCACAGTTTCAGGATAAGTACACTTGGACACCAGCAGTTTTCATTACCTGGCATACAGGACAAACATTGATTGATAAATCACAGTCTTTACATAAGCAGAGATGCCTACATGGCATCAACAAAATGGATACCTCCTTTGCCTTGCATGCTCTGCAAATGACGTGTTCCTTCATGCCCCTGGAAACACCTTTTGCAGCACTGAGGGGGGTGCTGAGGAAGTTGTTTGGGTCAATATATGAGGCAGCATCATCCACTTCACTGTCTCCGAAACCCTCCTTCCCGTGTTGAGCTCCCTGCGAGATTACTTGCTGAAGGTTGTTCTTCAACACATTAACAACTGACTCGTTGTATTTTGCTCTGTAATGCCAATTTTGGGCTTCTGCAGTCACCTGCTTTATTCTCTCAACCAGTTTCCTATTCTTGTTATTCACAGTCTCTAGTTCTATGTCTTTCTCCCTAAGCTTCTTGCCGATACCTTTCTCAATAGCAGCAAGAAAAGAAGCCATTTGTTTCTGCTTCATCTCTCTTATTCCCTTTGTCATGTGCTCTTCCTATTAAGAGAATAAAATGAACAAGTCACAAAATCATGCAAACGAATTTAAACCAATATCCAATTACATAGTTCTATTAAAAACCTTTTTATTAGAATAATGTGACAGATAATCAATCAACGATAAATAATAATCACAATAAACTGTGTAAGCTTCCTAAGCATCTTAACATAAGCATAACAAACAACCATGAGCATATAAAATGTACTGACCATGAAATGCAAATGCTATGTCATTATCATGACAGAAGTTTAGATCTTAGAAGCGAGAATACTCCAAACAGAAGATTCATCTGAATTATTACAAACATGGAAAATATCGAGAGAGTGCCTTTGGGCCAGCCAATAGCAAATGCATCAACATATATATTTGCTATTAGTTAATACTATGCTACGTATCAGTAAACCAACCTAGAAGACCAGCAGCCTATAGTTTGTTCTTTCTAAAAAGGGAGAGCATCTGATTGTAGTTAAACTATTTCAAATCTGTAATTAAGGAATCCCTGAGACATTCTGTTACCACAATAATACCTGAACTTTTATGTACAGATCAAACTCCTCTTTCTGACGATCAAGTTCTCTTCTAACATGGTCACCAAGAGACAAGATCATCGATGGTCCTTGCATCATGCTTCCACTACCAGAAGTCACAGTTGAATTTCGCTCATCATCATCATATGATAGCCGTAAGCCAGTTGACACAGCATTAGGATTTGGAATGCTAGCCGGACAGTCGGCTTCCTCTTTACAAACATTATAATTCAAGGAAATTTGTAGGTTTTGCTGCTTTTGAATATCTTCGGTTTCTCTGCCACTTTTATTGGGTTGAATCATGGGAGTGAGATGTTCATTTCCAAAATAATTGACAGGATCAACATGGCACCCAACTGGCACTGCAGGTTAAAAAAGTATGAATCAGTTACAACTGAATTTAAGAGGATACAAAATAGGGAAGTGAAAGAAATAATTAAAAAAAGATTCTAATTGCAAAATAAAGTGAAAAAAAAACTTACAGCATCCAAATAACTGCAGTTGGTTTGATGCATTAGTCTGATTCTGATATTGAAGATGATTCTCATCGAGGAAAATGGGAAGCACAGGATTACTGCTGTTGCCTCCTAACATTTTCCTATAAAACCCAAATTACTGTGATTTAGCTCTCTGAGGAATACTCACAACTGAGAATTTGCCTGCCAAAATAGGAAAATACAGTTATACTGCACGTTATAAATAATGAATTATGGAAGTACAAATACAGCACAATGAGCCTAAGATATGGGTTCCTTGTCTAGATATTCAACACCACCATAACACAATGTCCAATTATACTATGTATGTCTGAGAAATATGATCCCATTCAAATAATACATGTTCAATCTATATATTCAGGAAAAAAGAAAAAGAGTGATCATGTACTTTTCTTCCTTATATTAGGTTCAAAATAAATGGAATTCACAATGAACTCGCATGGTTAATCACTCGAAAGTTCAAGCACATGAATATGTGCAAATCCCATATTCTATAAAAAAAAATCTTTAGAAATTCAAACATAAACACTTTGTTGGGGGGGGGGGGGGAATCACTTTTATAAAGTTCTACTTCTACCTCAGTAAAGTAAATTCTACACAAATGAAAGGGTAAAAAAAAGATCACGCCAAAGCTTTGGTGATGGTCTCAAGAATCAAGCTTCAAAAGAAATAAGACTGAAATCGCGGATATTGCTTCCAGGAAAAATACCCATATCTTAAAGAAAAAAAGGGTTTCTTTGTATACTAAGAAATTCCATGATAATTATAGATAAAAGCAAAGGTAAAACCCAGATAGCCAGAGATAAGAATCCAGTTTAGAAC